AGTAAAATACGGATATTCACCCCAGCCCTGTTCACTCATTAATTCTTCATTGAACAAACATTAACGTTGACTATGTGCCAACTATTCAGTTAGCTGATGGGGAGAAAGAGTCAAAGGAGATGTCTCTTCCCTCAGCGAGGTTACAGAATGGCGAAGAGATGAGTAAATAGGCAGCTAGATACTAGGATACATGTCTTCTTGGAGGTAAGAGGATGCTGAGTGTGGAGGGAGAAATGAGGAATAACAGTGGGGACGTGGTTCCATAGTGTAGCGGTTACCACGTCTGCTTTACACGCAAAAGGTCCTGGGTTCGTGCCCCAGTGGAACCACGGTCCATCGTCTACGACCATGCCACTCCGAACAAGCCCGATGTCTGATCTTGGAAGCTAAGCAGGGTCGGACCTGGTTAGTACTTGGATGGGAGACCACCTAGGAAGACCAGGTGCTGTAGGCATAAGTGATAATAAATAATAAAATAAATAAGGAATAACGGTGGGTGTCTGGACGTGCTTCTCAGCCACTCATCCGTTTCACAAGTATTTACTGACCACCTGCTTGTGCCAGATGCCCAGTAAAGATGCTCACACTCAGAAAGGCTAATCTTGACATGAGTTTAGAAGGTAACATTACTAAAATAAGGAAATGATGACCAGAGAAACAGAGTAACCTAAAGCTTTTATAGCATCGCTAGTGTAACACGATTAAAACCACAGGCCCCGTGTGGTCCAGCCTACGCATGGAGCCAAAGAAAACAAATCACACTATCAGCACCTTAAAGAATAATTGAGCCTTCAGTGCTAGGTTTCCTTACCAGGCTCTTCTCAAGGGTTTTACACAGCTAACCACATAGAAATCATGCCAATAATCTCCCTAAATATCTTTCCCTCCCCCACAAAACTCCAGGATACCTTTAAATATCTTTCCAATTCTCTCTGTACCTGGTTCCCTCATTGCCATGCTCTTCTATTCCCAGTCCCTTCCTATCGTCACCTACTAAGCCAGCAGGCACTTCAAACATACAGGAATCGCACAGTACATTCGTTTCCAAGGGCCTCCATAGCAAAGCGCCACAAACTGGGGAACTTATAACAACGAACATACATTGTCTCACAATTCTGGAGGCTACAAGTCCAAAATCGAGGTATAGGCATCATCGCTCTTAAGAATCTAGGGAAGGATCCTTTCTTGCCTCTTCCAGTCTCCGGCGGTTGCGCACCATCCTTGGCATCCCTTAGCTTGCAGATGCATCGCTCCAGCCTCGGCCTCCGCTGTCACGTGGTGTTCTCCCCGTGCATCTGTCTCTTCACCTTTTACAAACCCCAATCGTATTAGATTAAGAGTCCATACCTACCCCAGTATGACCTCAGCTTAACTAATTACATCTTCAACAACCCTCTTCTCCAATAAGGTCACATTCTGAGGTTCTGGGGGTTAGGAATTCAACCTATCTTTTAAGGAGACACAATTCAACTCAGAACATTGCACACCCCTGATCTGAGCTCCATGGATTTGTGTCGATCTGAAGGGCAGCCACGGCCACATTTTTACCATCAGCTCTGATGGGCTTCATTGCCCATGCAATCTCTAGGAGCAACTTAGAGTGCAATTGAAGTCCAAGACATTTTTAAATATTTAACCCCAAAGTTCTCTTCCTTCTGAGCTTCAAAACCTCATTTTACCATTCCCCGGTATATAATTGTCCATAGACGTTTTCCCAGTTTTTCTTGCTAATACGTAGTTACGGATTTTTATATATATACATACAGTCTAGACACTCTCCATCCTGACGTGCTGTCATTCCGGTAAAGTGAGGCAGTCTTCCATACAGCATTTGGAGTGTGGACCCTATGACCTCTCATTTAGACATCAGCATTTCTCTGATCTCTAAGGCTCTTCACCTCTCTGTTCTTTCTATGGAATGTTCACTCAGTCAATTCCAAAAGTATTTATTGAATGACTACTAGATGCCAGACACTGTTCTAGGCAACAAAAGTATAGCAGTGAGTGAGCAAAACAGACTAAAAGCCTTGCCCTCATCGTGATGACCTTCTTGGGGAAGAAACAAACAAAAAAATATATGCAATATGTCTGATGATATAAGAGCTATAGAGAAAATAAAGTAGGGTAGAGGGATATAGACTGCTGGGGAGGGGGTGACAGTTTTAAATATGATGGTCAAGGATGTTCTCATTGAGAAGCTAACATTTGAGCAAAGATCTGAAGGAGGTGAAAGAGTAAGCCAAGTGGCTCTCTCGGTGAAGAACATTCCGGGCCAAGAGAACGCCACATACCAGGACTCTAAGGTGCCTGCCATGCTTAAGGAACAACAAGGAAACTAATGAAACCAGAGTGGAGTGTGGGGGGGGGGTGAATCTAGTAGCAGCAAGTGAGGGCAGAGAGAGAATAAAGATAAAGATGGGAACAGATTCTGCAGGGACTTGTAATGATGGTGGCACGTTTTAAACGCGACTCAAAGTCCATCGAGGAATGGTATTTCCTGTAAATTGCTCCATTTTCTGGAAGAAACTGGCTTGTGACAGTTATTCTAAATCCTACACTATCACCAGTACTATGATAGAAACCAAGACCCAGCAGGTCTGGCCTCAGACAGTGGAGCAGGGCAATAGCCTTCAATCCAAGCACATATGACCTTGACCTTCTCGTGATCCAAACAGGCTGACTTCTTAAGGCATTAAATAACATGAAGGATGGAAGGGAAATCAAATCTCCACTTGCAACTTCTTGTGGGATGTATCAGGATAGGCTAAGTTGCCATAACATAGGAGTCAATAATAATTCAATGGCTTAAAGGATATAAAAGTGTTTCTATTTTTCATGCAGTAGTTCTAAGGTGAGCACTTCAGGCTAATGGGTGGCTCTGCTCCACAGAGTTATTCAGGGACCCAGACTGACAGAAGCTCCGCTGTCTTCACCTCATGGCTTCCAGAGTTGCTCTAGTTGTCACCATTCCCACCAACAGGAAGGGAGAAAGAGGGATTTCCTCTTAATCGAATGAGGTGGAAGTAGCATATATTTCTTCCACTCACATTCCATTGTCAAGAACTACATGGTCCCAGTCAGCTACAGAATCATCTTCAGCTTTACTCAGCATGACAGGAAGTACCAGAAGTCTCTCTAGACGCTCACTAGTGTGCTCCTCTCATGCCCCCTCACTTCCTCCTTCACCCTTTTCCCTCCCCCAGCCCCACATACATATTATAGGGCTCCCTTTCCAGCCAGAAGAGCCCCCTGGGTTTACCGGCCATGCTGGGTCACTCAGAGACAGCTGGAAAACCTGGAGTCTTGTCCACTCCCCATCCTGCCTGGAATGTGCGGTTCTTCCTCTATGCTGTTTTACTTCCAAAACAGTCTCGCGAGGCATTTCTAGTGAATAAAATTGCCCACTTCATTACACAAGTAATTCAAGTTAGCTGGACAAAGGGTGCGCACTGGGGATTAGCAGGAGATTCGGCCAGACAGGTAGACAGGCGCCAGCGCACGAGAGCTTTACGAATCTGTGTTAACAGAGCCCCAACGAAGCCAGTGAGTGCTTGAGGCAAGACAGGAACTTGATTGGAGAGGTGTTTTAGAAAGCCATTCGGGTTATCGGGGAGGAACGGATAGGAAGGACCGAGATCAAGGGCGGGGGGCCTGCCAGGAAATCGTCGCAGCATGGAGATAATAGTGCTTCATCTTAAGATTGCGTGAGGATTGAGGAAGGGCTGTGCTTGGTGAACCCTACGCCCTCCATGCATGCTGACGCTGCTTCTTAATCCAAGTGCAAGGTGATGAGGCCTGCACTAAGGTGATCGTCGTAGCGGGAATAGAAGAAGGTGGATGCAAGAACTAGGAAAAAGTTAGAAAGTGGGGGATTGAGGGATTATGAAGCGGAAGAGGAAGGAGTTCAAGGAGCCCTACCAGTCACTGAGATTGAGACCTCGCAGGGAGTGAGGTGACAAGCTGACTCTGAGATGCCTGTCGGACGTCATTCAGGCGGAGATTTCAAATGGGCAGCTGAAGGCCAGAAGAAAGGCTGGCCTGAAAATACGGTTTTGGAGTCTTAATCATAAAATAGTGATTAAAGCCACTTTCCCCGAGGAAAGTGGATAAAAAGAGAGGAAGAGCCTGGGGAACCTTAAGGGCCAGAGAGAAAGGAGCCCACAGAGGATAAAGAGGAAAACCAGGTGGAGACAGAGGTCGGCAGCATCATGGGCTGCCGACGGCCAGGTCAGGTCAGGACGCAGAAGGTTCCACCGATTTGGTGAAAAAGACATTGTCGGTGGCTTTGGTGGCCTTGGCGAGTGCAGTTTCAGCGGAGTGGCGGAGGCGGAATTGAGGAATGAGTGGGCAGGTAAGGGTGGAGCGGGCCGGGAGCAAGTGTAGTGCGTTATACAAGAGATTTGACCTTGACAGGAAGGGAGAAATGCAGCGAATGTGGCGGGGCAAGAGGTTCCGAGAGGGAGAGATTGGAGCAGGTGCAAACGCTGATGCGGAGGGATCAGGAGAGAGTGACAGGGCGACAGTGAGGGTGTAGGATGGAGCGAGGTGGCCACAATGGAGGAATGTCCCCACAGGGGACACAGGGCGAGGTCCACGATGCAGCAGAGGTACTGACCTTGGGTGTGCGAGGTGGGGAGGAGACAAGCAGGGAGCTGCAGGGATGCGGGCGAGCTCAAAGGGGCCGAGAGAGGAGATTGAGGACCTGGATGCGGCAGCCGAGCGGACTTTATAAGTCACGTGAGAGGCCACAGATGCTGGAGGGATGCTGTCATTATACAACTGTGGGTCGAGGACCCAAAAGCCACAGGCAGACCTAAGGAGGCCAGGGCCAGGATAAAAGGGGAAATGGTGCCTGGGAAACAGCGGGCCAGGCTCACGAAAGTCAAATGGGGGCGCTGGGAGAGCGAGCACGCATGCGTGGGCGCACAGGCCGGGCACTGCCGAGAGGGCTGATCTGGACCCGGCCGGGGCCCGGCTAACGCTACCTCCGTCTTGCATAGTGGGACTTGGTGTGCGAATCCAACAAACTGAAGGAGATGGCCCAGTCTGTGTACATGGCGGGCACTCTGGTCGGCGGGATCGTGCTGGGAGACCTGTCTGACAGGTGAGACCTTGGGGCCTCCTTAGGACGGGGCACAGCCAGTGGAGATGACTGCGCCCCTTTCCGCTCCACCCATGAACCCCCAAAGAGGCAAAGATCTGAGGGGTGGTCCTTGCAGTGTAGACTTGAGCAAGTTTCAATCCTTTTCTGGGCCACAACCTCTCTACTCCAACGCCCTTGCAACTTGAGTTTCCCAGCCTCCTCAGACCCAGTGGGGAAAGGCCGTTGCTGGGTGGCAGTGGAGGCGGAACGAATGGTCTCCTTAGAAAGGGGTAGTCCTTTGACCCCTGCTCAGGCAGCTAAGCTGTGGGTGAAGATTACTCATTAACTCAAACTTCTAATTGCAAACTTATTCCCATAAAAAAATAGCAATTACAAGCAAAGCTCTGCCTGGGGTGGAAGTTACATGCCCTAGCTGGGAGGTGAGAGGTCCAGCCCTTTGCTCCAGACCTGCAGAGTCACTCACTTTGGCTGGCTCACAGTGACTCAACCAAACCCTTCCTCTCCTTTGAGCTGCAGGTTTGGCCGAAAGCCCATCCTGTCCTACAGCTACCTGCTGCTGGCGGCCAGTGGCTCAGGTGCAGCCTTCAGCCCCACCCTCTCTACTTACATGGTCTTGCGCTTCCTGTGTGGCTTCAGCATCTCAGGTGTTACCCTGAGCACCATGATCTTGAGTGAGCCACGGGGGGAGGGGGCAAGGGGAGCAAGAGTTTGGGGAGCACCAACCTGAAGCCGAGAGAATGGGGTATGGGCCCAGCTCAACCACAGGTCCCCTATGACCTCCGTAAAGCAAGGCATTGCCCCTCTGGGGACCTCAGAGGCCCTCTCTGAACATAACAGCAAGTATAATAGCAGCAGCTGTCAACACCGCGGATTCACCCTGAGCCTGGCACTCGGCTGGGTACAGGATCTCACTCAATCTACGCACACAAGTAGGTGATACTACGATCCCCATTATACAGATGAGGAAACTGAAGCAAACAAGGGAAGTTACTTGCCACTAGAGAGGCAGTCAAGAGCATGGGCTCGGCAGTCGAGGAGACCTAAACTTGAGCCCTACCTTCTTCATCCTCAGTCACAGCATCTGTAAAATGGGGGCGATGAACCTTTAGAATCAGAGTCAGATCAAGGAGCCAGTGAGAGTTAGGAGCTGGTGTCCCTTTCACAGAGAGGCACCCAGGGCCCAGTGGGACCCTAATCTGGCTCTTGGGCTCCTTCTGCAGATGTTGAGTGGGTGTCCATCCAGATGCGGGCCATCATGTCGACGGCGATTGGCTACTTCTACTCCGTCGGCCAGTTCATTCTGCCCGGCCTGGCCTACATCATTCCCCAGTGGCGCTGGCTACAGTTAACCGTGTCCATTCCTTTCTTTGCCTTCTTCCTGTTGTCTTGGTATGTGGCCCTCTCCCCTTTACCTCCTTTCGTAGGCCCACCAGAGCCAAACAGGGGAAGGCCACGCTTGACCAGGCTGGCCAGCTCTGTCCCCGGGACACCCCTGTCCCAGAGTCAGGAAGGGCATTTCGGGGAAGAGAAATGACCTACACGAAGGCATGCTGCAGGAGGGACAGGTGTCTGGGAGTGTTCAGGGACTGCCTACCGCAGACAAAGAGGTAAGTAGAGATGGATGGGAGGCGGCCAGGCTGTAGAAAGCACAGAAAGCCAGGGAGGTCGCGGCTTCGTGGGGACAGAGACCACCGCTGAAGGTGGCTATGGTGCCGAAAGGCCTGGGCAAGCGTCTCTTTGTGAAATCATAGCATAAAAGGACAGACCCAAGCGGCGATGATTGACGGAAGGGAGGTGACTGTATGGGCAGGACCCTGCGGGACATGTCTAAGAGGCATTTTGAAGAAAAAAATCCACGGGGTTTGGGGGCTTCTGGATTTGAGATATAAAGGAGAAGAAAGCTCAAAGCCTGGGAACCTGGGAGAATCGAGGCGCCTGGGTCAGAGGCCCCGAGTAAGTCGAGGGTTCATTATCAACATGTCAACGTGAGGACACACTGAAGACAGGAAATGAATCTCTAGAAGGTAATTGGAGCCCAAGAATAGGAAATAAGGAACGAATTCAGGAAAGGAGAAGCAGAGCGTTGAGCAGCCCTTTCCTGAGCACTTACTATGGGCGAGGCCCTATTGTGGGCATCAGCCTGCACTGTCTCTGGTCCTCACAGCATCTCTGTGTGAAGGGGCCATTATTATCCCCGTTTCACAGACGAGGAAACCAGGGCTCAGAGAAGTGAAGCAATCCCCAGGGTTACACAAAAAGATACAGAACTAGGACGGGACTTCCGTTTGGAAATGAGAAATAGAAGCTTCTAGAGGATATGGGCAATCTTGGGGTGAGAAATGGTCAGAGGGTCCAGGGTAGAGCCAGGAAATGGAAGCCGAGAAGAAGCAGAGTCAGGAGATAAAATAAGAGTGGGGGCCAACAGGGTATAGTCAAGAGCTTGGACCCCTTCGTCATGTGACTTGGGACAAGCCTCGCCCACGCCAAGCCCCAAGATTTTTCTAAGCAAAATGAAGGTGATAATGCCTGTTACCCAGAGTTACACGTGCCTGGCCCATAGGAATTCTTTCTAACTGGAAGAATGATGACCACTGTGGTCATCATTTTCAGGGAGAGGCCCGAATCCAAGCTCTGACGCTGTGACTAGGCGGAAGTCACTGATAATCCTGGCTGAAAAGTGTCAGGGCAGAGACAGAAACCAAAACCCAGGATGGTGGGCATTGATGAACCCCAAAAGCCACCACTACCAGCTGGGCCCAATGGTTTGAAGCCAAGTGACCAACACCCACTGCCCGAAGGGCCTTGCTAGGGCCAGATCCTGGGGACCTGTGGGGGCCACAGCCAGAGCTGATTTCACCTCAGTCCAGACTTTTCCAAACATCGGTCCTTTCTCCCCACACCTCTGCCTCCCCCATCCCCCTTCACCTAGTGACCCTCAGGGACTGCCCAGGGAGAACCGACCCCAAAAGTACAGCCCAGAGGTGAGGGAGGGCGAGATTGGCTAATCACTTGCCAACCCCAAGACCCCATGTTGTGCTTGCACCCGCCCTCCCCACAGCCCCAGCAGAGTTGGTCCTTTGCAAGGAAATCCAAGCGTCCTCAAGCCCATTCCCTAGGCCACAACCCTAACCTCAGCCCCCTTTCCAAGCTATGCCAGGATTGTAGTCCTGCCCTTCTTCGCCCAGGACCTGGAATGCGACCCAAGGAAGGCTGGGGAGGTGGATGTGCAGGATTCTCCAGCCTCAAACGTGTCATCTCTTCCCCTGGCCCCATCTGCCTTGGCCCAGGGCCCAAGGATCCTAGCTAAGGAAGACACCCAACGATAACAAGCAGCCCAGATAGTGGGGAGAGGAAAGGCTCTTCTGGAAGGGGAAGAAAACGCTGGAATTCGTGCTGGCTGCAGGCAGCCCAGGTGCAAAGTTGGCCAACTTTAAATTCCATGAAATCGACAATAAGGCAGCTCAGGTTTCTGGGCCTCTGACCCCCTGGCCCTGGCTATTGATGTTCTTCCAACTTCTCAAAAGGCATGGGGTGAGCCACTGTGATTTCATTCTGGCCCCCAGGTGGGTACCAGAGTCTATACGCTGGATGGTCCTTTCTGGAAGGACTCCAAAGGCCCTGAAGATCCTCCAGTGGGTGGCTGCCTTCAATGGCAAGAAAGAAGACGGAGACAAACTCAGGCCGGAGGTAGAAACTGTCGTCTGGGGCAGGAAACTGGCTCCGCTCTCGGGCTGGGCCCTCCTCTTGCCTCTGTTTCCCCTGCTCACAAGCCGACCTCACATCTGACACTCGAAGCAAGCGCCTCTCAAGGGGCCGTGCTCGCACCTCCCTCTCTTCTTCCTCCTGCCCACCAGCTGCTCACTAATGGCATTTTTCCCCTTCCTCTGCCCCAAGGAGCTCATACACAACCTGCAGAAGGAGATCTCCTTGGCCAAGGCCAGGTACAGCGTAGCTGACCTGTTCCGGACACCCATCCTGCGCCGTGTGACCTTCTGTCTTTCGATCTCCTGGTAAGTCACCACCCCTCCCTGTCTACACCCTAGCACCTCTGCCAAGGCAGGGGTGATGGCCAAGGCCTCCGGCAGGCTCACCTCTCAGGTGAGCAAAGCCTAGGGCGCCTCCAAGAGGAGTCAAGAGATCCTCTCCCCTGGGCAGCCCCGGCCCAACCTTGACCTCAGGTATCGGCTATCCCTGCCCCACACCCGGATCCAGCCATCAAGGTCTACTTCTCTGGGGTCACACCCGCCCCACCCGTAGGGAGAATGTCCCAAACCCCCTCACCAACTCATAGCCCTGCCATGGCAGTTTCCCCATGCTGTGCCTGTCTGTCACCGCCCCCGCCACTGGTCCAGCTCTGCCCTCCGAGACCCCACCGAGCAAGGCGGGGCCTCAGGGCTTGAGACTTGAAGACAGAAATTGTGTTCCTCCTGAGCCTTCTCTTCTGTCTGACGTTCCTCGGCTCCTTCAGAGTCCTTTCTGCGACCTGGTCTGAAGCCCTTCTCCAACCTGGCCATCCCCGAAGAGGACCCAATTTGTCTAGGAATTCTTCAGAAACCATCCGACCCTCTGCGAAGGGGAGGGGAGGCATCTGACCCGTGAACACATCTCAGCTTTCATCTCCCACGTTTGGGATGTTAAACTACCACCCAACCATCACCTCCTGTGGTCCCCAAGAGTCCTTCCAGCCCTGATATTCCCTGGAGTCGATTATGTGGCACCCTTGCCCCCACACTCTAGACCATGCCCATGTCAGACGTAACCAATCCCAACGCTTTCTCGGTGAGCCCAGACACAATCTCAGAGACCTCAAAATGTCACTCAGGCAACCCTGATCAATCAGTTGCAGTTGGGACAAAAAAATGAAACTCTTCGTCATCCTAGTGACCCATTGACCAGAATGGAGAAAGGTCCCAGCCTGGCAGCAGGTGCTGATCGATCCCTCCCTGCCCCTCAGGTTCTCCACAGGTTTTGCCTACTACAGTTTGGCTCTAAGTGTGGGAGAATTTGGATTCAACCTCTACCTCCTCCAGCTCATCTTTGGTGGAGTCGACATCCCAGCCAAGTTCCTCGCCATCCTCTCCATGAGCTATCTGGGTCGGCACACCACCCAGGCCACTACCTTACTCCTGGCAGGAGGGTGCATCCTGGCTCTCGTCTTTGTGCCCTCGGGTGAGAGGCTGGAACTATCCCAGGACCCTCTGAAAGAGGCTGACCCACACAGGCCAGTGTGTCTGTGGGCATCACAGGCTGGGAAGTGGGATGTGAGGGACTCCAGTTCTACTGACCTTGTCTCTAATTCCCCATGTTACCTTGAGCAGGTCCCTGTGCTCTCTGGAGCTCAGGTCTGTCATCTAGAAAATAGCCCACTCAGGCTAGATGATATCCAAACTCCTTCTGAGAGCTGACTAGCACTGGGCAAAGTATGGCGGTATCTGGACAGTGTGCAGAATCGCTCCAGGGTTGGGCATGGCCTGGCTGGCATCACCACAGTACACGAGCTGGGGAGGGGACACAGCAGAGCCTAGAGCACAACTCCGGAAAAACCATTTTCATTTTGTATGCATGTTTGTGTATTGATACAGCTACATCCTTCCAAGGGAACTTGAGATATTTCAGGACAAGAATACATACAAATAAATATAAATAGGAATAGGGCATGAGAGCCAGGGGAAAACCCAAAGGCAGCAAGACACAAACCTGAAAAGTTCTAGGAATAGCAGAGCAGCTATCACTCAGCTTTAAGTTTGGATCTGAGCTTCCCAGCAGCCAAAGCAAAAAGGGAGACAAAGTCTGCTGAGGAGGGAGAACACTCAGGTGCTCCAGAGCCCCAAGGCCCCCCACATGTTCTTCCCTGTGCAGACTTGTGGACCCTGAGGACAATACTGGCTGTGTTTGGGAAGGGATGCCTGTCCAGCTCCTTCAGCTGCCTCTTCCTCTACACGAGCGAGCTATACCCCACAGTCATCCGGTAGGTGCTGGGCCTGGGGCCAGCCCAGACAAAGGATACAGGGTCAGGTGGGATTGTGACATCTTCCTGCCCCCGCCCAGGGGCCCCAGAGCTGTCCTTTAAGAACCCCACACGCAGGCTGCCAATCCCTTCTCTGACTCCCAGGCAAACAGGTATGGGCATAAGCAACTTGTTCACCCGCATCGGAAGCCTCACGGCCCCGCTGGTGAGAATCACAGGAGAGTTCCACCCTTTCGTCCCCAATGTCATTTTTGGGACCGTCGCCCTCCTGGGAGGCAGTGCTGCCTTCTTCCTGCCTGAGACGCTCAATCGACCCTTGCCAGAGACCATCGAAGAAGTGGAAAACTGGTCAGTGCCCTGCCTCTGACCCCCTCCGTGTCCCTCGGGGAAGCAGGTCTAGGCCCAGGAATTTCCTGAGTTCTCTTT